GAATTATCAGCACAAATCCCACACATTTTCTATGTAAGTGGAATCCGTGGAACTTCGAATTAATCGGACATGTCCAGTTCGAGGTTCGAATTATCAGAAAAATTTATGTGGGAATCGTATTGACAGAAATCGGTCCTGGAAAAACTTCTCATTAAAAGCGGTGTGTTCGAATTAAGCCATATTCGAATTATCAGGATTCAACCTGTATAGTTTTCATGAGATGTTTCCAGTTTGTAGGTACAGTAACTGTTGTTACTGGTCAACTTGCTCTACACTCCTGTACTAATGAATCCACTTATGGCCAACTGCTATTAAAATTTTTTTATTGTGCTCCCTTGGGTTTAGATCCACCAGCACCGCGTTCACTTGCCATTCCAGAGAAGTCATCTTCTAATCGCTTCTCCCACCTTCTATACCTATCACATAACTTGCAGTTGCACTTGCATGCTGCGCTGGAAAGGTCAGTGAGTGTGTGTGTGTGTGTGTGTGCACGTGTGTGTGTGTGTGTGTGCACGTGTGTGTGTGCACGTGTGTGCGTGTGTGTGCATGTGTATCCGTGCATGCATATGTGCATGTGTCTGTCTGTTTGTCTGTCTGTCTGTCTGTCTGTCTGTCTGTCTGTCTGTCTGTCTGTTTCTGTATACAGTGCGTATCGGTTATAGTGTGGTCGTATACAAGAGTATACTGCTTACAAGAATGAACACTCATTTTTTCATAATCATAACACACATTTTATGTGTATATTTATTCTTACAAGCAGTATTATCGCATAGTAGAGTATATCAGCCCTAAGAATGAATTTTGTGTAGCAAAATATGCCAGATTAGTGCAAAGTGTATCGCCTGTAGTAATAACATCTGTGCTCTGTGCATACTCATAACAATAATAGTCAACACAAAAAGAGAGTTATGTCCAAGGGAGCATTGGAGAATCACTTTTTCTGTCCAGTCGGACTCTTTCTTCCGACTTCTCTCCTATCCGCTGCTCCGCAGTCGCCTAGCACGACCGCGAGTCTGATTGATCCGTGTGTATCATGTGTACGTGTCCACATGCCAAACGTGCGCGTGCGCGCATAATGATTTGTCACACGTGCATATGAAAATTATGTCACACGTGATTTATCGTGTGTAAGAAATATCGGCAATAAGAATCAAATGTCGTTTTTCAAACACCCACGCTATAACCGATACCTACTGTACATGCATGCATCAGTCCGGTGTTGCACTCTTCCTAAGCTGGAGTAGAAATTGTATGAAGTAGGGAATCTAGTACGACAGTGCTGGCCAAAGAAATCCAACCTCATGAATGAAGTAGCGCCGCGTTTGTGCACAGACCAGTGTGTATAGTGCCAGGGCTGCGTAGCACCCTGCGCTCTTTTTATTCATGATGTTGGATTTCATTGGCCAGCACTATACAGTCAAATCTGCCGTTAGCGACCTCTGTTGTAGGCGACCATCTACCGTTAGTGACCGATTTTCCGTGCACCGACGGTTTCACATACAAACTGATCTGTCCAGAGCGACCATCTGCTGTGCGCGACCAGCGACCGCGATTTCATGCACGGTGGCTGCATTCAAATCTGCTGTAAGCGACCGCGACCCAGGTTCAGTCAGGTGCGAAACTGTACTTGCCAGTGCGCTGTCAACTGCAAGGTGTGAAAATGCGCTGTCTTGCAAGTGCGATCGACTGGCCCTGGCCTGTACTGAGGCTGTGCTGTAGCTCTCAAGTCCAGGCAGTGTCGATCTACTGCCGTGTCGCGTACGCGTATTATACGGGTATGGTCGTCGTTGAATATCCAACGAGAGAGCTTGGAAGCTCAGGGCCCTACGCTATGCTTTTTTGCCTTGATGACCTAGACAAAAAAAAAGCATAGGGATGTTATAAATTCTTTAAAAAAATCCTTTTTTTTAAGACATAACCTGGGATTCGAACCCGCACTATCGCGCGCCCTGCATGCATCCCCCGATACACTTCGCATACATACTAATTCTTCCAAGTTGTTTCACATTGTGATCTTGCATTTGAAAGCCCTATTTGAATATGCATTGTGGCCAGCCGTCTTTGATGGCACGGTACGGCAGGGGATAGGTACGGGACAGGTACGATCGAGGGTAATACGACATCGTCTCCCGTACTGTACCGTACCATCAAACACAGCTGGCCACATACAGCTGCCCGCAATATTCAAATAGGGCTTTCGAACGCAAGATAATAACGTGAAGCAACTTGGAAGAATGGGTATGAATGCGAAGTGTATGGGGGAATGCATGTAGGGCGATAGTCCGGGTTCGAATCCCAGGATATGCCTGAAAAAAATAGGAGAATTGAAAAATTTATAACATCCTATGCTTTTTTGCCGTCAGATACGGATAGCGCCAGGCGTGACACAAACAAACAAACACACAAACAAACAACAAATTAAAGCTGTGTGGACCCTGGCTAGCGCCAGACGTTACTGAAGTAACGTCTTCTGCATAGCTACGGGAATAAAATTATCGCTCCCTTAGTATTGACTCCCATAGATTTTCGCTATACCTAAGCAGTCAAATATTCCTGCATATTTCACTCTTTAGGGCTATATTGACCGCTTATATTTGACTCCTTTTTAGCGATTGAACACAGGCTTTGGCTAGTCGTGATAAATCTAATATTGACTTCGTACTTGGTCAGTATAGGAAATAAAAGACCTCGTAAAAGACCTCGGCTTCGCCTCGGTCTTTTACTCGGCTTTTATTTCCTATATTGACCTCGTACTCAGTCAATATTAGATTCATAAAAATCACATTACTCTCGTCGATTTGAGTACATGGAAGCTTATACCTCACTCCATATTCACCCACATACAATTGGCCATCTACATAAGTGGTGAATATTGCTGAATATTCACTGCTTATATTCACCATTTACCTCATATTCACCACTTATATTCACCACTTTTCGATACTTACATTGTACTGTAAAGAGAGCAGTGCTCGGTGCTGCGCTTGATTCCTCTTCAGTCAGCGCACCGGAGCTGTCGAGTGCCCTAGAAAATGTCTACGCTAACTTCCGTAGACAGGACTTTTCTGAGTACAAACGAAATTCCTTGCTTGCCATTGCCGCTGGATCCGCATGTGACCAGGTGCTGACAGTGAGCATCTTCACAGACGGAGCGTTCCAGCGAGCAAACAAGGTTTTGGACGCTCGACATGTCAATGGCCCGATGGTTGCGGATCAAGCGGCAAGCCAGGAATTTCGTTTGTACTCAGAACAGCCCTGTTCAAGGACGTTAGCGTAGAATTTTCCTAGGGCACACAACAGCTCCGAAGCGCTGCCTAAAAAGAAAAGAAGTGAGGGTAGATCCGCTTGGCTCGCTGTTGTAAACCGACTCCCGATTTGGCGCGATGATCGCGGATTGGTCAAATCTTCGCGTGAAACGAAACCTCTCTCTGATTGGTCAAATCTTCGCGTGAAACGAAACCTCTCTCTGATTGGTCAAATCTTCGCGTGAAACGAAACCTCTCTCTGATTGATCAAATCTTCGCGTGAAACGAAACCTCTCTAATGATTGGCTCCCGCCACAAAGCTGCACGAGCGTGTTCTCCATGGTGATTGGCACGAGCGTGTTCTCCAAGGTCGTCACCTCCCATGCCACATGCACCAGTACGTGTACACGATCGATTGAACAAGATTCTGGACACAAGCCGCCCTCCGATTCAGGCAAGAACACGCCAGTCGGTCTGAAGGCTCAGTGAAGCAACAACGACTTACGTTAGTTCTGCGTACATCACTACATGTACATGTATGACCAACAGGACTCGTTTGTTGGGTTTTAGGGACGAGAGGGTGAATATGGAGAGGTATAAGTCTAATATTACCTTCAGCCTCCTGAATATGGGCGAATATTCACTAGTTATACAAACCTCGGCTTCGCCTCGGTTTGTATACTAGTGAATATTCGCCCATATTCACTCGGCTTCAGGTAATATTATATACATATACCCGGTATGCCGGATTTACCATACATCTGCCGTAAGAGACCATCTGCCGTAAGAGACCGCTTTTTCTTGCACCAAGGGGCGGTCGCTTACGACAGATTTGACTGTACAGGGCCGGCGCCACTGGTACGGCCGGTACGGCCATGGCCGTACCAAAAAAAAAAAAAAAAAAAAAAAAGTCGGTCCAAGTGGAATGTCCAAAACCGGGGAGAAAAAGTCTCGATGTATGATTTTGTACAGGGAGTCGCCCAGAGTGCAGGATTTGCCGTCTAAATTCCAAATTTTTTCTGGGGGAGTACCCCCAGACCCCCTTAAAGATGGCCCTTCGGCCGCACCGCTCCGCGGAAGCTGCCTCCGGCCCTGACAGATTTGACTGTAGTATTCGAATTCCACTGTCTGCATTTGTACAGCTACATGCATGGGGTGCCTGCTGTAGGAGTATTATGAGGTGATCATGAAAATCCCTCTTATGCTCTACGTAGTCTCCCAAACCGCTCACATTGGCATGCATCTCTTTACTGTGCAGGTCGGAGTTGCTCAGAACTGCACTTGCTAATGAGTCATCTCATGATGATGATGATGGTAAGACTTGTGTATGAGTGTGATTCATGACTGTGATTCATGACGGATTCAGCCCTGCTATACATACTGTCAACACACCCCGACATACTCTTTCATAGTGACACTATTCACTAAGGGAAAACACTAGAAGATTGAGTAGAAATCATGGTTCTTACTCAGTATGAGTGTGTCTGAGGTGCTGTGGCTTGCGGCTTCCTCAGCGGAGCTACTATCGGCCTAGACAAGCCGCTGTTCTCCTGGTCAGCCATATAGAGAAGCATACATGTGCATGTGTATAACTGTATGCTGTAGTATGTGAGTGGGCAAGGGGGGGGGGGGGGGGGGGGGCATTACTTCTAAAGTACACCTCATAATTTGAGAGAGACAGACTGTTTGACGTTGCATGTCTACATGTGCGCACAGGCCAGGGAGAATCGGTGCCTAAACGCTACACAGCATACTTGACAGAGACAGGGCGCAGGTTACCTGTTCTAACTAGCCTGCTCACACATGTAGACATTACACGCCAAGTCACAGGCCCATGTATTTAAATCATCAGCCCTACCTGTTATCCTAACCCGCCCACATGCATAAGTGTTGAGGTTGTTCCAGTCTTCTTCTTTTTTGTTGAATTAGTTATAAAGCACAGCACTACCTCGTAAGCTATGTTTTGACATTTTGGGCATTTTGTTTGTGTGTTGCTGGGTTGTTTGAGTCTCTGTAACGCATGGACGTGCAATCTGTGTGTCTACCTTGATTCTTGGCACAGATGCTGGCGCACTGGCGGAGATTAGCAAGACTGCGCAGGGTTAGTAGTGATGTACACTGCTTCTCTTGGCTAGCTTTACTCTCGTAGGATTGGTTCAACATATCAGTTCTATTGTTGATAGGATCGGGAGAGGGGGAGGGGGAGGCTGCGTTCGAAAAAGAAAAGACAGTAGATGGTAGTTCACGAACGCAGATCTACTCATTTCGGTAGAACGTCGATTTTACAGTGCGGTGCACAATATCTTTATGGAAACCAGCTCTCATGGTCACACAATACAGACATACCGTACCTCTACCGACTTCTGCCAGTCTCAAACCTGGTAGAGCCAGAACAGGAAAGTAGAACCTACCGTTTAGGGTAGGAAAAAAACAACTCTACCGAAGGAAGTAGTTTCTACCCAAACCTGTAGACCAAAAACGAACGCCTCCCAAGTGAATGAGGAGAGAGAGAGAGAGAGAGAGAGAGAGAGAGAGAGAGAGAGAGAGAGAGAGAGAGAGAGAGAGAGAGAGAGAGAGAGAGAGAGAGAGAGGAGAGAGAGAGAGAGAGAGAGAGGGAGGGAGGGAGGGAGGGAGGGAGGGAGGGAGGGAGGGAGGGAGGGAGGGAGGGAGGGAGGGAGGGAGGGAGGGAGGGAGGAGGGAGGGAGGGAGGGAGGGAGGGAGGGAGGGAGGGAGGGGAGGGAGGGAGGGGAGGGAGGGAGGGAGGGAGGGAGGGAGGGAGGGAGGGAGGGAGGGAGGGAGGGAGGGAGGGAGGGAGGGAGGGAGGGGGAGGGGGGAGGGGGGGAGGGGAGGGAGGGAGGGGAGGGAGGGAGGGGGGAGGGGAGGGAGGGAGGGAGCAGGGGGAGCAGTCGATTCTCCAAGCCCAGCTGAGTTCTTGTTCCTTCTTCGCGCGAAGTTTATGTGGTGAACTGTGTTGGTAAAGATGAAGATGTCAGTCAATGAAATTTGCTATATTTCTTGTGTCTAACCAACCCTGTACGGATCCAACTGACGATTCCCGAGTGCGACAAATGTCCTGAAGTCTGCTCCTATTAGCTAGGTATCTAGAAATTTCAACTTGAGTGTCAAGTGAAGACTTTGCCAGTTGCAGACGAGGGAATTCTCGCTTCACGATTTTCCTGGTGTGTGGAGATACTTTGGAATGCCATTGCGTAGCAGCAATGTGCTATCCTTCCGCGACTTGGGTGGAATGACGTGCAAGTGGTGCTGCAGGGTCAACTTCAATTTGCCGACCACGTATGCCGCTGGCTTGGGGTCAGCAGTTGGGTGCAAAGTCTCTGCATACAAATCGTGCACTGTCGTCAACAATATGGAGCCCTTGTCGAGCAATTCACGTGCTGTAGCGGCAATGACTATATTGGGAAGATCACTCTCGACACCTTCCGTGCTGTATTGAGAGATGATGCTTCACTTTCGTCCATTCCTTATGATTTTGCTGTCCTTGTGATGACGAAAGGAGAAAGCTTCCCAAGCCTAGATATAAATCGTGACGATTGGGGCGTCCGGACTTGGTGCACTGTTGGCAGGGAGCATGTCAATTTGCTTTTGGTAGCAGCGTCTACAAAATCGACTCTCGTCTGAAATCCTGATGTTGTGCATGCTACGCAACACATGCTCTGCAAGCTGAAAGTTTGGTGACTTCCACCTGTGTTCTGGTGTAAGCCTCGACTTACACCAAGCATATATTACATGGCCCATACACTGCTGGGTAATGGGCCAGGCACAGAACCGGTTTGCACTGTTCTTTCAGACTGTGCACGTGCAATTTGTCTGCAGGACAGTGTACGGATGCCGCTGCGCTGCAATCATGTGCACTGCATGTACTTTGGCAGACTGGCGGCTTATTTTCTTTCGCTGCTGTGCATACTTGGCGTCGTAGTGCTTTGACGCACGTCCAACAAATGCATTGGCCTGACGTGATGGATGTGCATGTCACCATGTGTGTAGCTTTTGCCAATCTGACAGCATTGAGCCATGTGTAAATCGCTTGTCAAATGGCACTTTGGAGCAAATTCTGCATTCTGGGCCACATGGTCGTCCAGGATGTATGCTTGTGGCATTGCTGGGTCTTCCTGCTGCTGACATCTGTGCACACATGCATGGAAAATATACGTATAAAACTCTAGTTAGAAATCACGTCACCAGAGGCATGCCCTTTTTCGGCCAGAACATAACTTCCGCTCCAATGTCACAAAGA